TGCTGGTGGACTTGTCCGACCACTATGGAAATCAATCTGGCGATATCTAAAACAGATGGAAATTGTTTTAGATTTACAACCCAGCAATCCCTCTACTGAGCATATACCCAGAAGAGGCAAGAAACAAACCAAGGCCAGACATCTGTGCTCCAATGTTCATTGCGGCACACTTCACAATTGCAAGGAGTTGGAAGCAACCCAAATTTCTATCAACTGACTATTGGATTAAAAACTGCTATATACATACAATGGAGTACTATGCATCACTAAAAAGCAGTGATGAACGTATGAAGTACATTGCTGCATGGGAAGAACGAGGAAATCATGCTAAGCGAAGTAGGTCAGGCACAAAATGACAAGTACAACATGAGTCCGCTGAGGTAAGCGTTAAAAAAAAATGCAATGGGCATAGGGAAAAAGCTACTGTATACAAACATTCTTGGGGTAAGGTCCAGGTAGTATGGCAGGGACCAGATCAAATGCAGGGATGCAAATGGTAGACAACTGGGGAGGAGGTGGGGAATGTGGAAAAAATGATGAAAATAAGGAAGAAATGGATAGTGGGGGCATGGGGTACTAACCCGCCCAAGGGGAGGGTATTGTTTATATCTCCACAGGGAAAGAGGAACCAGACTTCAACCCAGTGCCCCAAGGTGTGAATGCAACACTCTGGCGTGGAGTAGGGAACCAGTGGAGAGGTCTGGGGGGCTGGCCCCAGTCCCAAATACTAAGTGGATGCCTGTCCCTCCCCCCAGAAGAATTTATTTCAAAGGACGGCACTGAATCTGCAGCTCCAGGAGAGGGACATATCTGATCGGAGCACACGGGAGCAGATGAAGGGGAAGTAGGAGAGAGTGGAGCACATCCTGGCCCACCAGGCCTTGAGGATGATAACCCCAATTAGTGCAGCCAGTCCACAGAGAGGACCAAATGGCCAGCCCCACTATGAGACATGATGCCCCTCACTGACCCATGGCCCTGCAGGGGACAGGACTGGAGACACAGTGTGG